TCTCTCTCTCTCTCTCTCTCTCTCTCTCTCTCTCTCTCTCTCTCTCTCTCTCTCTCTCTCTCTCTCTCTCTCTCTCTCTCTCTGTGTCCGTGTGTGTACCAGATACGGAGATACTGATACTGAATGTGAATATTGAAATACTGAATGAATACTGAATGATGAATGAATGAATATAAATGAATATTGGATATGAATATGAATACTAAATTAATACTGAATGATACTTACATGCACAAAGGTGGCGCTTCGATGCAGGTACGAGAGATTGTCTCTCTCTCTCTCTCTCTCTCTCTCTCTCTCTCTCTCTCTCTCTCTCTCTCTCTCTCTCTCTCTCTCTCTCTCCATCAGTCACGCGCCTCCTAGGTCCGTTACTCGCTCTCTTTGCCATATATACTGTGCACGAGGGGGGAGGTTTCATGTTGAGGTGCTTGAGCTTGAGCAACCTCAGCGCGCAGAGAGAGAGGGAGAGAAATCATATCCGAGAGAGAGAGCAAACTGAGCGCGCTGACGGGAGAGAGAGAGAGAGAGAGAGAGAGAGAGAGACCACCTCAGCGCTTTAGCAACCTGGGCGCGCAGACGAGAGAGAGAGAGAGGGAGAGAGAGAGAGAGAGAGAGAGAGAGAGAGAGAGAGAGAGAGAGGCGATCTCTGGTACTTGCATCGAGGCGGCACCTCGGTGCGCAGAAGAAGAAAAGGAAGATATGGCTTCTGCTGATAGGTTCCTCTTCGTCCTTCTCCAACTCCCGCCGTCCTTCTTCTTCTTCCTCTTCTTCTTTTTCGTTTTTTTTTTCGTCTTCGTCTTCGTCTTCGTCTTCGTCGTCTTCTTCTTCGTCTTGATGGATTTTTTGTCTTCTTCTTCTTCATCTTCTTCTTCGTCTTCTTCTTCGTCTTTTTCTTCTTGGTCTTCTTCTTCTTCTCCTTCTTCTTTTTCGTCTCCTTCTTCCTTTAATTTTTCTTCTTGGTTGGGAGGGATTGTTGGGCGTCATGCATCATAGCTATCTTGAGTGATCTGAATCACGAGGGAGAGAAACGCACCCCTCTCCCCGGTCGTACCTCCCCTCTAATTATTGATTGATTGATTGCCTTTAAAGAGAGAGAGAGAATGATTGATTGAATGATCGCAATTGATTGATTGATTGATTGATTGATTGATTGATTGATTGATTGATTGGTTGGTTGGTTGGTTGGTTGATCGATTGACCTATCAATCGATCGTCGACCTCAATTGGTCGGTTGATCAATCGATCGTTTTTTTACGTTTTTTTACGTTTTTTTTTCGTAATTGAAAATTTATGTGCGATGCCAATCCCCAACCTCCCTAAGCTTGATCCCAGTCCTTTGCGTGAATAAACGTCATGGTGTCACGTATGTGCACACCCTTAGCATGATAGATAGGATCTGACATTTGTAGCCTGGGCGTTGAGCGCGAGGTGGGGGAAAATGACTTGGTTGATTGATGATGATGACGGTACTATTTCGGCGTTGTCATTTGTGAGCTCTGGTGTTACTATTATTTGGCGTGTATCGGGTTGGGATTCTGCTCTTGGTTCGAGGTCACGACTATCTGTTATTGTGTGTATGATGTGACTTGGTTTCTGGAATTCGCTATCACTAATTTTCCCTGGGCGCACACACACACACACACACATATTGCCACCCACGATTGAAATCAATCAATCAATCAACTTGATTGATTCCGATGCCTCAACCCACCGCCCCCAACTTGATTGATTGATTGATTGATTCTGATGCCTCGACCAATTCAGAGGTCGTCCTACCCTGATTCCGATCCTCCCCACCCTCGATCACGATCCTCCGCGACCTTTTGTAATCAAAAGTTTGTGCCCCCACCATGGTCCGTATGCTTTCCAAACCTAACCTTGATTGGGAGGGTTGATCACTCACTCACTCACTCAATCAATCAATCAATCGATCAATCATCTTGGATTGATTCATGACTTGATTGGTTGATTGATTGATTGATTGGTTGTCGGGGGGTCGCCTCCA